CTAAAAATATTAATCATTAGACTCACACTAGTTAAAACAAGAAAAAATACCATTGAGGAAGGACCGTGATCATCGAGCTCATTTAAATTCATCATACTGTTAGTTGATGTATTGCTTAATGCAACATTCTTACACGTTACAACCGTAAACTTCATTAAAAGTTTAGTTCATAATGGTGAACTGGAAGGATTCTGACATAGGGATGTAAAAAACTTTTACTTTACAAATAAAAAACTAAACAGTAAGACATAAACATATATTTTTTATGAAGGACTCAGAGGTTTGCTAGAAAACATTAATGAAGAAAGTTTATGGACATATTCCAGACTTTGAACACGTCAGTGGTCGGATGTGAATGATGGTGCTCCGTTCTGATGAGAAAATTCAGGTTTATAGTCTAGTATGTGGTGAAAACGCAACATTCTGAACAAACCAACCCCATGGTGAAACACAGTGGTGGCAGCGTCATGCTGCGGGGAAATATTTCTTCAGGAACAGCAGGGAAGCTGATTATTGGACAGAGGGAAACAGGTTAGAAGCTGAATGCGACTGGAAACCGGGGAGAAGGTTCACAACGATCCTGGACATACAGATAAGTCTAAAATAATTCTAAACTCTGGCAGATTTAGGTTAAAAGTCATATTTTAATTTAATCAACATGCGTCTTCCCACTGGAGGTAACATTTAGGAGGAGTCAACCCAGAGTCCCAGCTTGAATCTCAGAGAATCTGTGGAAGGCCCTAAAGATTAATGCGATGGCCAGGAGTCTTTCTAACGTATGAAAACATGCAAACTGTTACTCAGATTAAGATTATCACGTTAAGCGATTAATCAGTTAATTACATGATAAATGAAATTGAGTTTGACCATTTTCATTCTGATGATTAATATGATTTGAAGGGCAATTTTGTTTACAGAGACTTTCGAAACCGTTTTATTTATTGCCATCGGTTGTGTTTTATTTTGGATATTCAAAATATTTTCCAGTTCCAGAGTGAAATATTCTTAACAAATTTAAAATTTACTGGTCTTTGAGACAGCAAACTTGTATTATTATGCTGTTATTATCTTACTTGAAAATGCTCTCGAAACAATATTATATTTTATCGTAATAATTACAGGCACAATTTATCGTCCAATAAAATTTGTTACTGTGACAAGCCAAATTGCTGTAAAGCCAATAAATGTTTTCCTTTCCTAGATTGAGAAGAGTATAAATATTTTTCATCATGCCATTTTTTTTTAATATTTGATACAAATTACATTTTATGTTGTTTTGGGAAGTCTTGTCTCACTTCTTAGTGAGAAACAAACTTCTTCTAATCTGGACAGCCAGAGCGAAAGTAAAATAGTCTAGATTAAATCATAATTCATGTTTTAGAATGGCCTAGTCAAAGTCCAACATAAATCCACTGAAGAATCAGTGGCAGAACATTAAGAGTGATGTTCACAGACACTCTCCATGCAGCCTGACTGAGCTCGGGCCGAGATGCAGACTCTGGGTGTGGAAAGCTGCTAGAGTCACTTCCTGTAGGACGTTTTAGAACCCGAGGGAGGCTGGATTCAAATCCATGTGGGACTTCTTCTGATTTTTATTGGTAAAATTTTTTTTTGTTGTTGAAAATCTTGTATCATTTTCCTTCCATGTCACAAATCACATAAAATTGGTCAATCACATAAAATTCCCGTGAAACACATTCAAGATTGTGGTTGCAACATGTTTGAGCGGTATGGATGCTTTTCAAAGGCTTTGGAAAATTATAGTTCATGCAGTATGCTATGCAGTCTGTGTGTGAAAGGCAGCAGCTGTAATGAACGTTGGCGTGTGTGTGTCGGCCTCTCACCCTTGCATGTTGCTGCCTGTGGTGACAGAGGAGCTCAGCTCACTGTCCAGCTCGGCCAGCGCAGCGTAGCGGTCCTCTGTGCACCTCGCCGACTGGGGATGAGCTGAAACGGCACTGGATCTGGAGGGAATTGGCACACCTCCCCCTTTCAAGGAATATTAGCACTGCGTCACAAAGCATCACAAAAATGTGCAAGGAAACCCCCCAAAAATTAAACTGTTACTATAAAAATTAGGGTGCACCGATTGCAGTTTTTTTGTCTGAAAAGACAACTTAATATTGATGCAGTTACCTACTTACACTATGTTCATGTAAAAAGATAACTTTTTTTTCTTGTACTTTAAGTTGCACAATCAGGGATCTTCAGAAAACCTGACCTGCCAATTACGATTTTGGCTGATACTGATTTTTTTAGTCTGAAGAGTGGAAGTATCAGTCGGTCACCCAAAATTGAGGAAATTGGGGCCAGTTTATCAGCTCCTAATAAAAATTTATAAAAAAAAACAAAAAAACATTTAAATAGGTTTTTCTCCTTTCTAACTAACTAGGTGTGATACGTTGATTATAGTTTAAAGTTTGGGGGAGCTTTCACTGAACATTGCTAAATACTGAGTGCATTTGGAAGACAAACATAAAACAAAACATGAAGAAACATAAAGCAGAATGGTGACGGGAGAAAGGTGATGGGGAAGGTGGTACCTGATGAGGGAGGTGATGTGCTCAGATGGGATGAAATTGCAGTGTTTCCAAATGCTTCAAAGTTGGCAAAGTTGGTGTTTGAATTACCATGAGGTGCTGCACCCATGGGAAAAACCATAAAATGGAAAAAGGATGTGGAAATAATAATAATAATAATAATAATAATGAATAAGAAAAAACAAAAAGACACGGCAGGAAATTTTACGGGTTAATGGATGAACGAAGAATTGTGTCGGGGTGCAGACTTACCCGACTGGCTTGGAAAATGTGCAAAATTGGCAAAGTTGGTGGAGGGGGGGCCGGCTTGAGTCGGAGGTGCGGCGAAAATGTCTCCACCCAGATCCGAGAGCAGGTCAAACTTCTTCTCCTGGGCGACGCCGTGGGCCTGCGGGCGGCTGAGCCCTGGGGACTGGAACACACAGACACACAGGACAACTGACCACCAGAACCCACAACAGACGGAACGTTGCCGGGCCGACGCTACCATACCGACTCAACTGCAGTCGCTGGGCCTACCTGGCGTAGTGGCGTTTTGTTGAGCTGCAGGGTTTTCAGGGGCTGAACCTCCGGGGTACTCCCAGTGCTGCTTGCCGACGAGCCCGACACCGAGGCCTGAACGCTCACTACTGCCCTCGCCTGGTCTGGAGGAACATACCTACAAAACACATACACACACGCGCGCGCACACACACACACACACACACACACACACACACACACACACACACACACAGCTTTACTCCCCGGATTTTTCAATTTCACTGCATTTCCTCCTCAATACCTTTTACTTCCTGCCAGCTTTCATACGACAATATTTCTTTAAAAGGTTTTCCACAAACAACGCGGTAAGAAAAAAGGGGGGAAAAAAAAGCAGACACGTGGATAATGTAGAGACTTTATGCTGCCAGACTGAAACATATGGTTAAAGATTTTTGGCTGAGGGAAGTAACAATTAGACGGCAACACTTTCTTCACACCACAGCTGACACTGATGAAGCAAGAATTGCCGAGTCATCCTGGGCTAGACCTGCATGACACGGCATAACTGTAAAGTGGACTTAAAGTATTACATGGTATCCAAACTTTTTGTCTTTCCAGAAAATAAAATCTGAAAAAGTGTGGATAATCTTGCTTCTTTTCTACTTCTTTATTCTAATAAAAAATTGTGTTTATATTTGAGCAGGTAAAAGTAAAACATAGCTTTATTTTAAAATTGAATTGAAAATTTTACATCAATATTTTCTGGCCCTCAACGAGGGGTGGGCATATTGTTTATCATTTTTTTTACTGAAAATAACTTTTGTTAAGAAAATTGATTATTCGTTATCTTGATGAATTTCCATTAATGTAAAAAAAAAAAAAAAAACTGATATTGGAAATGTTATATTTATGATTTTCTCCACTGTTTCAGAACTATTGGTAAATTTGAAAATATGACTAATTTAAATGTAGTTAGTGTGTCTAGTTTAGTTATACAAATCAAACTTCTTTAACTGGTGTTCCGAACTATTTAAAATGGGAACGTTTTTCAAGAACGACTACGATTGCTAAGAATCCCAAAAAAAGAAAAAATAGAAAGAGATGTTTTGCATCATCATTTTTATCATTATCACTATAATATCACAACATATTGCAATAAAATTCAAAGTCCACATCGCCCACCAGTGGCGATGTGGACTGGTGGGCGATAGCAAAAATTCTGGACCCTGATTTATGACATGCATTGAATTTGTGTTTGTGATGTGACAAAACAGGAGAACCTACCATCTTTTCTTCTCATATTTTTCCTGAAGAAACTCCTTTACTTTCTGCGGTTCTCGGAAATCTGGAACAACTGATGTCCTGTCGTCATAAAGGCCCAGCCAGATGTGTTTACAGACCTACAGGGAGAGGGGGGCACATAGAGAAGGGTTGGGGAAGTGGGGTGGGGGTGGAAGGACAGACAGAGGTGAGAGAAAGTGAAGTTAGTGGAGGCCGCAGGAGGAGGGAGAGAAAAGGAATTGGAGGAAAAAAAGAAGGGAGAGAGGAATCTCAGGAAGTGAAGTTAGGACACGGATATTAGAAAACGCTTAGGAGGGAAGACATGCAGGGCACCTCGTTGCCGTGTTTCTGTAGAAACTCTATTTCCTGTTGTGTGAACGTGGTCATAGAGATGGACTTCACTCTGTGGGGGGGGTTCAGTCCTCGTCTGCAGGGGAGAGAAAGGAGGGTTTTACGTTAGCTGGAGAACAGGAGTAACTTTCATACATGAAACACACACACACACACCACCTGCATTCAGTGCAGCCTCAGCATGTAGGGTTGAAATCCCAATGATTGCAACGCCAAGAAGGCAGTTTCTAAAAATAACCTGACCTCTGTGTTAAGAGGTGCAGGTGTGCTGCTGAACACGCCACAATTCACAGGAGAATCTTCCAGAGTCTAGAGATTTGATTCAGAAACTGGTTTTAATTCGGAAATCAATTTTTGCCAAGCAAATAGAGCATTTATTTAAAACTATTCTATAAGCTTCCATGCTTTACCAAATTGGGTAAAGAAGGTTCTGGGTTCGATTCCCGGCCCCGGTCTTTCTGCATGGAGTTTGCATGTTCTCCCTGTGCATGCGTG